GAAGGTTTTTGAGGCACTTACCGATGCAATTTAGGGTTGCTTCTTTAGCGGTGGGACCTAACGTTCCACAGACTTTTCAGTCTCAACAAAGCCTCCCGTGTCACGCGGTAGCATGCAGGCCTAAACTGGTAACAAATAAATGAAATAAATAAAATCACATGATACAGTGTTCCTCTTGCATATTAAAGGAATCTTCCACGGAAAAAGCTCCGCCCTCATTACCACAGAAAACGATACCTTAAAGGAATCTTCCACGGAAAGAGTGATCATTTTGTCTTGTGTGTAGGATTAGTATTATCGAAACTAACGCTTATGTTCCGTTCTTTTTGCTATGCTCATGAGGCTAGGGGCCTAAGGGGTATCGTTTTTCTGTGGTAATGGAGGCGGAGCTTTTTCCGCGGAAGATTCCTTTAAACCCGGTTGTGGGCTGGTGGAGTGCACTAGCAAACCTCCAAGAAGCAGCAGCTAGCATGAACGATTCGGGAGTTCTGACAGCAAAAGCCGAACCTCCTTCTAAGTCCGACCCTTCCGAGATATTGTGGAGCACGAGAGTGACCTTGCGCTGGGAACCGCCGCCCAGTAATACTAGGGTCACTGAAGAAGATCAACATCTACAGCGTAATGGCGACGCGTTCAATTTGAAAGTAAAGCAAGACAAAGTCTGCTTTTTTCCTGAGGTCGTTCGACCCCACCTTGCGGAGAATATTCATAAAAAATTGGAGACTCCCAGGCTTCTTTCACCTCCTCTGTGTGGCCCTATCCTCGTGCCAACAAAAGACAACTCAGTCTAGCGCTCTTCTCCAGGAAGAAATTTTACGCTAAGTGACATGACCTCAAACTCGACTTCCGATCTTTCTTCGATCAATAGCTCCTGGAATTTCAGAGATAAGACAGCGACTAAATTTCCTTATAGGCAATACATTGTAGATGACAGAGATGTATGTTTGGATGAGCAAAGACTTCGAATAAAAATAAAAAATCGAATTCAAAAACACCCAAAGTGGGTCACTGAGTATAGGGCAGCCTCATATTACGGTGGGCTAACGAGTCGGTAGGACCAGCGTTTGGTGCCAATAGCAAAAAACAAAAACAAAGGCTATTTTATAAAAATATCTATGTACAAATTATAAAGTGGTTCGTTTCGCCCCAATATCAATGTTTCCAGTGCACCTTTAGCCATGACGGCGCGTCATGTCGTACTGTTTACAACCCTCCTTTTCAACTTAAGAATGCCACAATCTTCATTGAATTCAATTTGTTTTCTCATCAAAAATGCCCATTGTCACAGTTCAGTCATATCAAAGAAGAATGACGAGGTTGATCCGCTCTTCGCCGTGAACTCGATGGTGATCGGTGACTCCTTCAGCACACTCTCGAGTTTTCTTAGAGTGAATGTGTTTGTTGCCCTAAACAATGTCAGGTCATTATGAATAAAAGATCAAAAATAATTATTCTATCCCACCAAATGAGTCCAATCTACTACCCTATCACAGCGTGTACCGGAAGCGTGCAACTCTCATTCTCAAGACTCAAAGGAGGATTCCACAATAAGAACTGCGGAAACATGCCTAGTGTAAAGACAGGCGGACCTCTGAGGTGCGGAACGACATGCAGATCGCAGCGAAGGAACGCGCACGACGATCTAGCATGATCCTCTCGCGTGCTACTGACGCAGCCGACTACTGACTGGTAACACTCGCGCAGTCTCCTGTCGTGTAGTGAGACTTTAGCGGCGAGAGAAGACAGCTACGATGGAGTCGTTATCGAATACGAAAACCAAAGTAGAAGAGCGTACATTTACGAGTTCGCCCCGTTCCTCATGTGTTTCTGCTTCTTGCCCCTCTTCATTAGAACGATGCAACTTTAGACACTAGTGTTAAACAATTAGCACAGACACACTAGAATACATACTCATAACACGAGTATGCGCTCTAGTGTGACGATCGCCTAATTGCCCTACAGCCTCACAGCCTTAAAGGACGAATTCACGCTGAAAAAGCAACCCATTTCAAATTAAGGATGGTGAGTGGTACACGAAAGAAGGAAGAACCATGAGAAACGGCCCAGAACCCGAGAAATGGGACCCCTTCCTTGCCCGTTGATTTGAGCATTGATGCGACTCTCATCGCTGTGCCCTCTTCAACACTACGCTCTCTCAGCTATCTAATCACTCGCCACGTATAGACCTCTGCATTCGAATCGTAAATTCGTCCTTTAAAGGCACAACTCCAGGCAGAGGTCGTGTGAACGCTTCCCTTCGGTCTGTAGTATAGACCCCTAGAGGACAATCACAAATGTGGCGTTCCCGTGCACGGAAACCAACCGACAAGAGCGCTTGGGCCTTGCAAAGTAAGCTGCAGCTGCATTTTTCTTTTATCAGGCTGTTGTCTGGCGCCCTCTCATCTGTTGCGCTCTCTCGCCTCATACTCTCCTCTCCGCGCTTAGTCTCTCATTCCTTAGCACAGCCGATTAGGAAGGTGAGTGAGCCCTCAACCTAAGCGTTTTCGACGGATTCTTTTCCTTTTTTCTTTACTGCCGGCCCATTTCACACCCATACATTCGCATTTGTGTGCACCACCTATTTGATCCTCGGGCATGCCTTTATTGAATGTGCAATTGCGAACTATAAATGTTGATTGAGCAAGTCGAGAACTAGTTTTTATCATGAGTGTTAGACGGCTGGTTGCAACTCATTATTTTTCAGTGAATACCATATCTCAGGACCACTGTTCCAGATTATCTAACAGAATGTGATCTCTGGGCACCGGTTCGTCATAATCGCTGCAAGGTGATTTAGCGTAGTACCTGCCCATAGCGTAGCGTTTCATTGCAGATCACCAATTACTGTTTTTATAGCAGCAAATGGAGGCCACAGCCTTCGCTACAACAACTCGAGGGATCAGGCTAAATCAGAAGAAACAGGGTCTTCTTTCGTATCTAACAAGCTTGTAGGTCCAACGCCATTCGGTAGTAAGGGGCATAAATTTCGTGAACATGTAATGCTCTCCAAGAAATTCCTCGCGATGTTCTCCTCATGGATCAAGATTTCAGTGAGCGCTTATGCTTGAAACGCACTTCGTGGCAATACACTGGAGTGTCCTCAAAAAACCACTACGTTTCCATGGCCCAATGGATCCCCATAAACCTTAGCATGCACTTATTGTTAACTGCATTTTCTCACTCCCAACCCAATGGACAATTTTCAAATTATCTAGAACAGTTTTCGTTCCAATCTGGACGTTTTTCAATTTAAGGTTTTCAAATCAATTCGAACATTTTTCATGCATTTGGGGCACTTTCAGACCACCGTATACGTTCTTCTTTTCAAACTGTACACATCATTTTCAGAAAAGGCTTAAAAGCATCTTTGGCTAAAAGTCAGTCTTAGTAAACTTGACAGTGCCGGGACATTTTCCAAAATTTTGCTCGCAGAATCGCTATACACACGCAACCGCTGGCCTTATGACTCCTGAGGGGCATTCGTCGACGGAAAAGGAACAACTACGTTTTCCATATGGTGGTGAATTTGACGACTGCAGCAGCTAGACAACCTTTTGGTCAATAGATGTGCTCACTTCGTTTACACTGGTCGAGGAAATCCCATAAAGGCAAAGAATCCTACCAGGCTTACGGTAAGGGTCACTGAGCTTCCTAATGGGGTATGCTATCGGAATGAGAGAGTAAGCGCGGAGTGGAGAGTACGAGGCAGGAGAGGGCAACATTTTGGAGAGCGCCAGACAACAGCCTGATAAGGTAAGAAAATCTGTTTTGAACCTGTTTTGTGATTATCCTCTTGAGGTCTACACTACAGACCGAGGAGAAGCGTTCACACGAACGAACGGAGTCTGTCCTGAGTTGTGCCCTTCAAGTAAGAATTCAACGATAAAAGTGACCGCATCGACCAAATATTAGTGCCCAGGTGTTGATTTGAAAATTCAATTTGTTTTGAAAAATGTCTACGAAATCATTGAATTTGTCATTTCCTGTAAATTACAGTTACACTCACATATAATACGTAGAAGTTGGAAAATCCAGACGGCAGAAATCGGCATTCTATAGGTTCGGATAAGTGCTCTAGTCGCTCCGTGAGCCTGAAAGTTGATCGACCCCTCACTTGAGGTCCCCCCTCGTTGTTCGCCTGGGGTCCCAGACTAATTCGTTAGTCATGGGTTAAGTTGGTTGCAAGCCCCGGTACGTTATTCGACTCGAAAGCGTCCGAACGAGGGACAAGGATCTCGTCAGGGACCTTTTCGGTCTTCCGGATGGTGAGTGCGGCCTTATTACCGGCTACAGGTGTAGGACCTCAATGGCTGCCATCTCAGTTCCTTTTTCTGAAGTATTCCATAATCTCAGGGTTATTTTCATTGTTACGTTTAAGCCCAATTTTCTCTCCTTCTTTCTTTATTTTTACTTTGTATCATGGATCGCTCAGCTTTACAACTCTGTTTGTCCATCGTGTGCACACCCTGCACACCCTTTGAGGTGTATTAAATATAAATAAATAATAAATAAATAATTTCGACAGGTGCTGTTTATCGCTTGGATGATTAAAATGAAAGGCCATAATAGAATTTCTTTGGATTCCATTGTTCTTTTCAAACTTTGCTCTAACCTCTAAAAGACAACAGCCTGATGAGAGAAAATCTGCAGTCTTAACCCATTGGCGACATTGCGGGTCGATGTTGGGACGCACTTTTTTTGCCACGACGGACAATGCGGGTCGATGTTGGGATGCAGCATTGAGATAACTCTTCTCCGCAGGATTTCCAGAAGTGTTCCTATAGCATACTAATCAGGAAGGCGTTGTCATACTTACGGTATTAATGGTCAGTGCATATCTTCCTTAGTTGATGTTTTACACGAGCGGTACTTGAAAGTGATTTTCCAAGGCAAAGCTTGTTATTTTTGAATGCATCCGGCTGGCTTTTCGCCTGGAGTCAGCTAGAGTAATGCTACAACATTTCACAAAGAGAGATCTGGATCCGACCCCATTTACGGGTTTTAAAGTGGAGATTTGAAGTTTTTCTGGCATGCTCCAATATACACCCTCGGCAAAACCTAAAGATTTACGCTCATTTTGGAAGCGGTCTGCAATCATACGAAACTTGCAAAGTTCTAACAGTTCATGCTTCAAGATTCAACATTTTTGGTGCAGGTGGATAGCCGCATTATGACACATTTTTCAAAAATGTCAAAAAAGGCGCGGTCCGACGCGGCAGACAAGCGAAAAATCGCATTGTCGCCAATGGGTTAAGGCAGATTAACTTTAGGCGAGGCCCAAGCCACACTTGTCGGTTGGTTTTCGTGCCTAAGGAATGCCAACAATTTGCAATTTCCTTTAGCGGTCAATATACTGGCAAGACGCCCAGGAGAAGCGTGTGCACGAGAATGCCACATTTGTGATTGTCCTTTAGGGGTCTTATACTGCAGACCAAAGGGAAGCGTTCACACGACCTCTGCCTGGGTTGTGGCTTCAAAACGTTGTGTGCAAAAATGAAAAATTCAAGTGCGACGGTATTACATATGTTCCAGCCCAATGTAAGCGATTAGCACCACTTTTTAGAGTTTTCAAAGCAGAAGTTATTAGGGAAGCGCCAGAAAGAAATCTACAGCTTTCGTAACACTCTTAAACATACTGAATTGCGGCTCCATTCGCAGTGTAGAAAGTCAGAGTGGATGTCGATGAATCCAGATTTGTGAAGTTGAGCTTGGTCGCCTGAACAATGCATTTATAACCTTTGAAGCAAAACAGAGGTCTATTCCAGTTAGGGGGGCATCATGATGCAGTTCTCGGCGAACTAGTGTGAACTCGAACATTCCAGCTTTTCACGCATGTCAAGTGACTGCCCTCACCCCCACCCCCGTAGACTAGTCCCCTGGCTCGAAGTTACCTAGCTTTCTGGAAAGCATCATGATGCCCCCTAACTGAAATAGACCCGAAACAGTTCTCTCCATTTCACCGGTTCGTAGAAATTTTTGCGAATTCCGCTCACATACCCTACGCGGGTTGGCGGACATGGCTTTCGTTTAGAGGCAAGGCTTAACCAACGCACTGATCAGTAGTTTTCTTGTGGATAGAGCCTGTTTGAAAACAGTTTACTTTCGCTCCCGCATTATGGGAAACCAGAGGAACTGCCGCTCTTTAGTTTTTTTTTCGAATGAAGTTAGCCTGATAGCTGGTGATTTCCGGCGTACATAGCAAGCCTATCTATTTTACAAGGAAGGTCAGTTGGCCAATTCGGTCATTCAAAATGAGATGTATACCTGCAGGGAGGGGCGGGGAGCAATGAAGAAGTCACTTACCCTTCACGTTTAAAGCGGATAATTACACTCGATGCTCGATTCAAATCGAGTGCACTTAGTTGACCACTGAAGAGCACATTAGAATCTATAGAAAAGCTTCATAATATCCTTTTGCATTAACGGCATCAGAAGATTTTCCCACGGAAACATGATGCCGGTTAAAACACAACAAAATCTCGACGGATTGTGGGCCTTTACGAGGTTATCTGAAAGGCTGGTCGGAAGTGGTCCTGCACAGTCGTAGCTACTGTCACTTGGAAACCATCCATCATTCAATTGATTGAAGAAATTATGTAGCAACTTCAGGTTGGAATGATTCCGTAGCAGGGTCAACCGTTACGTTGGACCGATATTGGAGCGACGTTGGACCGATGTTCACCGCTCTCCGCGCCGGCATTCACTCTCGCCACCCGCGAGCCGTCTGTGTCTCCGTGCGTACGTTCACTCTCGGCATTACTCTCGTCGTCGCGTTGGACTTTGTCCAACGGACGGTTGACCCTGTTCCGTAGGCCTTCTCGAGCTCAACGGTGATGACAGATGCTGCCGTATTCTAGAGAAAGTGAGGGCAGTAAAGAAGGGCCTGCTTTTGCTTACGGGAGAGGGGCATCTAATAAATACTTTGCCGTAACATCAACAGCGTCACCTCGTGCCACGAAATCTTCGATAACGCGGTGCCATCGGCAGAGTGACTCTTTTCCAAGTCACCCCTGTATATACAGGGTGGTCCAAAATTATGAGGACCAAGACATTGTGTCGTTAAAAACGCATAGTAGCTTGATGGAACAAACAAACTTCAGGGAAGTGTTTGTAACTCTTATCTCAAAGTAATTCCAGAATAGAATTGAGATCTGCCACCTGCCCCGTTTACACGAGCCTTCAGATGAAGGGGGATGGCGCGTGCGGTGGCACGCAACTGAGGCGTGTCAAAATGTTTCCAGGCCTTCTGCTCTGCTTTCTTCAGGGAATCAAAGTTTTGTGGGGCATTTATTTGCGCTTGCATCCAGGGTGTAAAATACAGAAATCTAGAGCTATTAGGTGGAAGGTTCCATTGTAACAATTCTTCGAAAGCAACGAACTCGAAAAATCGCTTTTTAGAGAATTTTTTTATTCTTGGGTGCTCGGTCCTGTAAAAAGTCCCAAGTAGACTACTCGTGTGGCTTTCTATCCACTACAGATGTGGAGTCTTTAGAGTGTCTGGCTGGGTTTTCACATCAATTTTTTCATTTTGGGAGTACGAAAGTCGACAAGGGGAGACCTAGTTTCTGCATCTGATAATTATCCTGGTGGTAACTGTAACTTTCGAGTCTCCGAATTTTCCATCTGTGGTGGTTCCAAACTTATTGAAGAGTTGAACTGTTGCTCATAAGAGCTTCCCTGATAGTTAGACTGCTGCTAGATGTAACGTGCCAGAGCCCTTAGTGAGTTCAATTTGAGGACTGACTAAGGAGATGTTGTTATTTCACTAGTTTTGAGAACTGCATGAAATTTGGTTTCATTAGGAAGAAGACATTGTACCCTCTCACATAGTGCACAGAAAAGGAGATGAAAATGGAGCGACTCGGAAAAAAGTGGATATGACCGCGCGCGCACGCGGTCCTCATAATTTTGGCCCACCCTGTACACCAATTTAAAAAGCGAGAAGAGCGTCGGGTGCAGACCATACACCACAAGTGACGACGGCCTCCACAAAATGTAAATGTTTTCTGCCAATGAAATGATTAGCCTGTTGCAGTTGTATTCTATCAGTTGTCACTGACTACTTACTAACCAAATTTACCTATGAAATCAGCGTCACTATGACTGTTGTATGGTCCGCACCCGACCCTTTCTCGTTTTTCGAAAGGGAGGATATGTGCCTCGAGACGTTGAATTCAAATCTGCTATTTATGTTACGATTTCCCAATAAGAGCAGGAAAGAGCAGTGGTAGTGACCCGACTTCACATGCCTTAACAGATTGTTGGGATCGACTCCAATCGGAGTCCATCCAGTTATACGATCTATTCAGAAATATAGCTTTGAAGACTTTCAAATGGCGATATCAGATTTGAACTTAGCGTAGCGAGGTAGTGCACAGGTACACATCTCGTCTGAATGGCCAGCTTACTTAATGACCTTTCCTTGTCAGAGCAATATATGGCACATATGATGTAGTTACGAAGCTCTACTGTTCTGGGTTTTTATATGAAATAACATATGAAAAGCATCTAACGGAAGAAGAGCAGCAACATGCAATTTTTGCTGCCTGTTGGATCCGCACAAACAGCTGCATTTATCCGCACATTCAAGTCAAGCCATAAAAACGTACGTCATAGCCATTTTCCCCGGAACTACTTTGTAACGTCCAGCTGCAGAGAATGTCCTTGATCGGTGCAGTGAAATTGGAAGAATCAGGGCCGTAAAAGCCAGGAGAGTAGAAGGGTATGTTGTCAGATGGAGTCGTTGTTATGATTATGCCCGAATCAGAGCAGGCTCCTTAAAATATAAATGTATCATCAGCTTTTCCTCACTGAATACTGCAACAATCCTTAACGACAGGTTTGTTGAATATTGAAATCTTGTTATTTGATGCCATGAAGACGATCAGGCTCAATGTGGTTCTGGGCGGGGGGGGGGGGGGGACGTAAGCAAACCAGCCCTTTTGGCGCTTCGGCTGGGACCGTATGCTGAATGTTGGGGAGGGGATGGAGTCCCCGACGGTGGACGGACCACTTCAACTCGGTCCTTAGAACCGCCACAATTTGGTGCTTACCTCAGAACTAAGCCTTAAAGAGAGGACGGGTCCGTCCCCTCTCCAAGGCTTAGTCCTGGGGTGAGCAAACCAGCCCTTCTGGCGGAGCTGCTGGACCAGCTGCACCACTTGCGTCAGTACTCTCCTATCGTACCAACCGAGTTGAAGTAAACCGTCGACCGTTGGGGACCCCATCCCCTCCCCAACATTCAGCATACGGTCCCAGCCGAAACGCCAAAAGGGCTGGTTTGCTTACCTCGGCGCCGTGTGGCGCATAACATGTTCGCGAAATAGTCGAAACTGGACACTCTAGCTTTTCATGCATGTCAGGTAAGTGCCCTCACTTCTCACCCCCTGGACTGGCTACATTCCGCCTGGCGCACGGATCCCCCTCTGCACGCTGAAGAAGTACGCGAACATGCGACTCTCCGCGGCGGCGACTCCTCCGCCTCCCCGAGCCACATTGCGCGAACGATCATAAGAAAGGAGCAGGATGGTATAAAAAATGAATTAAATGATGAACGCGCCGGTATCACAGTGCTGGTAGCCGTCCAGATTTCCAGGACATTGGCAGTGAGGTGTGTTGTTCGGGTCTGTTTCGCAGCCTCTACCACCGTTGTGACACACGTAGCCGCTGCATGGACTCGGCGTCGTCGATGGACCAGAAGTGGCATTTGGCGCTGAAAAGATAGAAAGATTAACGCAGTTCACATTGAGAAAGCTTCGTCCTACTGGCTGAATGAACACATATGGTGTGTACAGTGTGTAAAACTTTAGTAATACGATACTAGCGGAGCTAATGGAATAATGGGTAATTGAGTATGGATGTGTGACGATAGGACTCAATGCACCTTCTTCAGCTCACAGTTTTTACTATGGACGTGCGGGTCAGTATCGTATCCCGGTATACTGCTGCGAAACAATTCGAAGACTGGGAGAACCCCCGAATCTTTCGGTTATGCAGGAACGGTGAGTTTCACAAATATACTGCTCAAATCGCGTGTCGTCGGCGCCGTCGCTGTTCTCGCTTGCACTAGTTGATTCGATTCTCACGCGAAACGTTGAGCTGAAGAAGGCGCGACGTTGCGCGCTGTTCGATATCATCATACTTACCCCGGTATCAATCATCATAAATACAGTGCGTCCCTAAAGTATAGGGACACCCTACTTTTTTCAGTATCTCTGTTATATACAAACCAGTTTAGCTCCGCACACTACCGCGTGCATGACACGGAAGGGCTCCGTAAAGCTGGCCAGCCGGAGGAGCGTTAGGTTCTGCCGCTAAACAATAACTTTCTTCGTGAAATGCGTTAGCTGGCCTTCTACAGAATGCCATTTTTAACACGTTGACGACCGTGTGGTATGATGTCATACCACACTCTTTCGGCCACGTGGGACCGTGTGACATGATGTCATGTCACAGTCTTTTTTAAGCTGGTTTTCAAACATTTTAGGTAACTTATTTACGTGATGTATGCGCCATACTTAGGCATTGTTACAAAAGGCGTGGTCCCTGGAAAGAAGCTTCGGTTGATGGGCTATCGAGTTTTTCTAAAAATGTTTGAATAATGATCAAATCACAGGAATCGCTAAAATGGCCAAAATCGCATAATCGGAGACCTACCACACAAGAAAGATAACAAATACACACTTCCTGAGAAAAAGGAGTTCTCGTGGGACCGTGTTGACATGATGCCATGTCACACTCGCGCGGTCAAAATAATGCGCGCGGTCCCACACGCCAGACAGCGAAAAATAGCGCGGTCGTCAACGTGTTAACCAACGGTCTGATTCGCGCGGTGGAGTGCGGAGCTACAGTGGTGTCTGTAAACAGCCACCATGCATTGGATGTCAGGATGATTTAGCGGTCGAATAATATTGATGCCAATGATTTTGCAATAGAAATACCCATTATCGTATATCGCTAAACATCCATCATACATTCTTAGGGATTTTGGGAATATAGCGTCGAACGGTATTTTATGTTGATGACAACAACGCAATGAGATGATTCTGAAGTGAAATGCGTTATCTAGAACCACGGTTTTAAGCGATCCATATGTTCCCACGTGATTATCGGCCCTTATCACCTCCTGTACCTCACCGTACATGTTCCCGTCCCACTCCTGTACATCACTTCTTGGAACCAACGCCCCACTGCTGCTGGGACGCGCGCTATGAATTTCGTGAAATTTGCGTTTCAGCGCCTCTTATCAGCCCTTATCAGTCGTTATCACTTTCTGACCCCACCAAATATGTTCCCGTCCCACCCTGTACATCACTTCTTGGAACCAACGCCCCACTGCTGCTGGGACGCGCGCTATGAATTTCGTGAAATTTGGACGCACGTACAGTGCACAGACAGACACACA